ATATATATATATATATATATATATATTTACCGTGACTTTAGTTATTCAAACTTGAATTAAACTTTGGAGCAATCTATGAAAATCACCATCTATGGCAGTCAACGTGCACGGATATAATAAAACAAATATAATAAAATATAATTATAATAATACTGTATAGATTTTATACTTCGTACTGTATTATTATAATCGTACATTTAATATATTCAATGACATTCCACTCACACAGAGGCAACTACAGATCGCTATGGATGGGTGTTCTGTGGGCTTTGCCATCCGGCACGGGTGTCGCGGTCGCCTTGCTGCAAGGCAGCAATGGACCATTAATTGGCGTCGCCATATCAGCCTCATTACTGCCGCCGGTTGTTAACTGCGTGAGTGAACAATAGTCATGTACCGTGGTTAGAAAACATGATGCGAACGGTATAATTATAATCATTACAAACCATAAAGATACCTACACGCATTCGTGTTTCTCTCCTCTCTCCGATTGTACTCCAATGGTCGACGATCAACGTAATCACATCTCTATAGACTGAAAGCTTGATCTTATACTTCGCAGGGTCTATTTTGGGCTCTCGGCTGTATATGGCTCATTTACCGACCCATAAAAATGCCCCACATCAAGGGCGAGTCCTACACGGACTTTAATAGCTCGTACAAGTACGTCTACACCGATTATCTGCCCGTCGAATTCTTCTGCAATGGCATTATCAGCGCGTGCTTGACGTTTATCAACGTAATGTGCATCTTTATTACGGCAATAATAGTTCTGAAGGTAATTAAAGTTAGCACGCGATGCAGATAATTATCGAGAATATAATCGCAAATTGCGTCTGCTGGGGCCTACGGCCCGACAATCGTATCATCGTGTTATCGATGCACATATCGCGACGCTAATTGTAAAATTTCATCTAATTACGTGACTTATATCTTCGATAAGACGTGATATGTTAAACAAGGTGATTTTAATAATTTCAAGTACGTGTTCAGCAAGCACGTGCGCTTATTATTGTTTCTATTTTTGCCTGGCGTTCTCGTCTGGCGTTCGACTGTAGATTAAAGAAGTGGCCGCGCCATACACATCCACGCCCGAGTTGCGCCGATTTTGGGAGCACGACATCCGTCTGGTTCGCGATAAAAATATCTCGAGGGATAACAGTTCAGTCGATTCAAGGTATGGAGTTATCGCAAACTCTAATATCATCATAACACACATACACAAAGTTGCAACTTGATATTACATTATCGATATACTAATTAGTTACTACGAGGGGCTGAGTAAAGTTAAACAAAGAGCACTGGAACGTACACTTAACGAGGCAGTGAGGGAAGCAATGGACGATGAGACTTTCAGGAAAGTACAACGACTCAGTTATGGGCAACATGGACCGGAGGAGGTACTTAGAGATTCTTAATCAGTCTTAATGAAATTTAATACAATTTAATAATTCGACATTAATTAATTGCATGCAGATCGGATCTCGGCTTGGTCTTCATAATCGCGGGAACACGAGTAGAGGCAATACGAAGAAGAATGAGAGTATTGAGGAGATAGGCGCGGATCTACGCTCGCGTATGGATCGATTGACGAATTCTGGCAACACGAGCGAAGATTTGGCTGCTTTGGACCGATTGATAACTTATCTCTTAGGTCAACCGAGTAATCCCGCCGGTAACAACTTGGACTCGTGGAGACGTTCGCGTCGTGCTAGTGCGCGAGGATACCGGCAATTACGTGGCACCGCCGCGGATGCCGCGGAAACTGGTAGCGTCGGTGCTAGTATCGGCACGACGCCACTTTAAATAGATCACAAAATACGCTCCGCAAACGTCGGAAACTGTACAGCGAATCTGGCAAAGAACGAACAGAAATAATGATAAGTGGGAAATAAAAGTTATTAAAATGTAATTATGACTAAATAAAAAAACCAATAGAGTTTACCTGTGCACAACTATCATCTATGCCTAAACAATAAATGGTACTAGTTTACGATGTGAAAACCAATATAAGAAACATTTTGATCGTAAAGTCACAATAATAATAATGTATCTTTTTATTAAAGATACATTACGATAGATTATTGTAGTCACATTTGTATCACAATTTAATCAACACCATCAAATATGCAATTTAAACGAAGAGATCTAAAGATTGCTGTGATATTCAATCATCAATGGAGGACGGCTCGGTACCAAAGTATCTATCGCCGAAGTTTCCGATACCGGGTAACACATAGAACTTCTCGTTTATCTCGGGATCTAATGCGGACGTAACGATCTTTACGCGTGGAAAAGCGTACGCAATCGAGTGCACGCCGGATTCCGCCATCAGCAGCGACACCAATAATACGTTCTCTTCGGCCACGTCGTGATCCAATAATACTCTGATCGCCATGATAGCAGCTGCACCAGTGGCGACTGTGGCGTCCATCAAGATCACTTTGTAGTCCTTGATATCCTTCGGTAGTCGGAGGTAATACAGCTGGAGACATACAAGAGATTATGCGAGTTATTGTTCTGCAATTACGTTCACGTTTAGGAAGAAGAGAATTTTCAGCATTTACCTCGGGTTCGCCAGTCTGTTGATTAGTTTGAATGAGAATTTTGCCTATTCGTATGTCCTTACATACATCTCGAACGGCCTGCTCCATGGTCTCGCCGGCGCGCAATATCGATACGCCACATATTTTATCCGTTGCACCCCGTTTGCCATTGTACAACACACCTTGCGGTGTTTCTATTATCACTTCCTTCACATAAGAATGATTAACTGTGAAATGCCGATTTGATCGATTTATATGATGTAGATTCAAAGAGCAAACAACGACTGAATGGTGTTCCCCTTGGTGATAACGTAGAGAAACAAAGTTTCTCTTGAGATAAAAGTGTCCTCAAACGCTTATCTCGCGATTATAATTACACTTACCTCGAATGGCAACAAAGATAAAGCGTATTCGATGACCAGACGGATTAATCGTTTGGAATAGAAGATAAATTCATCTCGATACGTCTCCTTGTTGCGTATAAACGTATGAAGACCCTTTATCTGCGGCGTATCCGGAAGTAAGTACAGCGACGAAGGCAGTGGTTGACCAATATACGAATGCGCCAGCTTCTGCCTCAATTTGAAACCTCTCTGTGAAAAGCGCATGAAAAATCGATAACTATATGATAAATATTGATAACTGTTTTACATAAAAATAACTGAGTAGAAGCTGATAGTTTACCAACTGAAGTTGTGTGTGAACATGTTGCACGATGAGCTCTATAGCCACTTCGTTCTCGCCTCCACGCGGCACGATGATATCCGCGTGGACCATAAGAGGTGCAATGTAATAGTAAAAGGAGGGTTGAACCATCGTGCTATACTGCTTCAATACACCCTCCAGGTCCCTTCCTCTTTGCGAGATATCCCTCTTTAAGCGTCTAGCAAGTCTGATGTCTGCGTCGGTATCGACAAAAACCTTCATGTCGCACATCTGAAAACGAAACATTGGTTATTTTCAATCTCTGGTGCGATCTTCAAATTCATCTATCTCTTTATCGGCTTACCTTCAACACGTCCACATTGTAGAAGGTCAGTATTCCCTCGAATATAATAACATTGGCACCATACATAGTTTTCTATCAAATAAAAGATCAAAATATTATACGCCCTAGACGAGATATTTGTTTTAACATTATTTCATTTTATATATATGTATATACACATAAGATTTAAAATAATGTATAAGGTTTTGCAAATTTCTTAATTTTTTGAAAAGTAAACTAAGAACTTTATAAGAGGCGGAGTTGGTCAGATTTAAGAGAGTTGATGAGCTTCTGGGAGAGGTTCGTGTGATGTTAAATGTAGAAATCGCGTTAATTTTTTGCGCATACAGCTACAACAGTCGTAATAAGTATATCAACTTACCGTTCTGCTCTCCCTACTATGCGTTACAAAATTATAAATAGGAACTTCCACCATTCGTCCTTCTTTCAAACGTTGCAATGTGATCTTGAGAAGCTCAAAGTCGAAAGCGTCAGGATGATCAAAGTTGTATTCGTTGCGCGCAGCCATGTCGTGCTGTTTCTCGTTCAACACCTACGAGATAAATACTCGATAACATCTGTAAGATGCGTCATTCTGAACTGTATTAACGATGAATGTACATAAAATATTCGACGCACTTTGTAAAACGAGTCCATGCTGAGAAGAGTAACCCATGGAACATCCAGAGATTCTATAATTTTGGTCGCAACTGTCGTTTTTCCGGAAGCGCTGCCGCCACAAATACCTGCCGCAAACGAATTTCCCCGTTTAAATTTACGTCATATAAGAATTACGAAATCTATATAAAATATTTATTTAGTTAAAAATAAAAAATTAGAGATGAATATTATTAACCAATAACAAAGGGCTCCACTTGTTGACCAGCCGAATTGTACCAAGGTGGCCTACCAGCCGTATAAATAGTTCGTGTTTTACTCCTGAGAATAGACTCTGCTGATGTTTTCTTGCTCGACTGCGACATACTGGTAGTACGTTGTCTGCGCGACCGTGGTGACTTCTGCGATCCTATTACAATCATATGATACATATTTCTTTTTCGTTTATATTATCATTTACTTTCTCATATAATCATCTATACTTTTACAATACTATCAATACATTAATTCTTGCTATATAAATATAATTTTTATATATATAATGCAGAAATAATATTAATTTAATTAAAAGTTGAAGAATTAAAGATAGGATTGAAGGTAGGATTAGAGATAGGAAAGATTGGCTATACTTGTTGCACTGTCTTCAGGACAAATTGGTCAAGGAACTCAGGACATGCTTGCATTTTTTCTCACAGCTACAACTTCATTGAACCATTGAATCTGCAATGGATTTACATGCACTTTAATAAACATGATATATATATATATATATATTTACAGGTTAATTATATCATTGTGATTACTTCATTCACTGATAACATATCTGATGCAATCCTATATTAAAAGATTCTTAGCTGTTAATTTAAAACTGTTGCATGATCAGCCTGTTATCAGCTACACTTGTACAAACTGTACGCATTCCTATACCCAAGTCCAAAAACCTGATTGATAAAATATTATATATGTTATTATATACATCCTTCTAATTATTGTTCCATTTCACATAATTAGAATCTATTCTGTTCTAGATAGATATCTATCTCAAATATAATAGAATTTACTCTAATTTGAGATAAATACCTATTTATCTAATAGAATAGAATGTTTTATTTGAAATAGATATATATTTACCTAATAGAATAAATATTTGTTTTCCTCTAAATATCATCTCTATTCTAAATAGTTAGAGAATAGTCTTTAACAAATAAAATAAATCACTGTCATATATATACAATAGAAGAACTTATCAATAGTACATAGTATAAAGTCGATATTCAAAAAGAGATATTGTAACAGATAACGAGAAGGATAAACATGAAAAGAACATCTAAATTTATCATAACTTTAGTAAGATTGTCTGATGAAATAGGAATTCCAAGTGAAAAGTAAAGAAAAAGAAGACATTCAAAGGGATTCTAGAACAGTTCACTTGATAATGTATCTGTCAGAAATATCTACCTGTGGACGGTGGTCGGGGAGACTGTGGAGTCGGCGTGACGACGTCGGAACGTCTATGATGTTCAGCATCTTCACATAGCTCGTCCACGAGACAGATCTCACGGTCATCCAAGCACACCTCGGCGTCGTCGCTATGAGAAAAAACAAAAAATTCGCACGGTTAGTATATTTGTCGAGTGATGTCAACAAAACGTGTGAAGTCGACAAATACGCACGACGGAATGGTAGACACCACGTGCGCGCTTGCTTACCTCTCGGAACTCGCCGAGCTGGGTGGCTCGCAGTGCTGCATCTTAGCTGCCATTATCCCGTCGTTCCACTGGCTCGAATCCACCGCCGTCGTCGTCGTCGTCGTCGTCGGCGTCGCCGTTGTGTCGTTCTCACTTCCAACGCTGAGAATGTCCACTACCTCGACGCAATCTATTGCGTCATATGTGTCAGGTCACTGTATATCGAAAAGGCACGCGCGACACAACGTCGACGTCGAACGTCAACACGTGCCCTCCGTCTACTGCTACGGTCTGCTGCACACAGCCCGCACGCGGTGCCTTGTATTTTTGATCTCGCGCGTGCGCAGTAATCGCAATATCCGATAAACGATCCACATTTAGATCGATGTTCGATTACTATCACGACGCATATCGTTCCTGCAATAAACAGAGACGTTTATATTATACAAGAGCACTCTTTAATTCGCGTTTAATTCGCGATTTGCACAAAGTTGCTCAACATTGAAGCGCAAAAACGAATACAACTGATTTTTTTACCAATTGCCGCAAACTTCGACGCGGTAAATCTATATCGAAAAAAATCGATACACATTCGAGAGTTTTATTCGAGTCACACAAGTCTTATAGCAAAATTGAAAATTTTAAGCCTACACATTTCACTAGAACGTGTTTCCTGTCCGTCGAAATATCTATTATTACTTTAGAATTAATTCAATTTACGTTCAATGTAACTTATAAGTTTTAAGAAATGATATCATTAAAAATCTTCCACCCACGCACAAATTAAAGTTGACACGGTTCAGCATGAAGTTGCCGCGGAGAAGCAACGCACATGCCACACGCTTAAAATGGCGTCGCGTTTCGTGTGACGTGAAATGAAAGGGAAACGCGATACGTTACAACCGGCAATGGCGGTATCTCTCGCGATCTTCCTCTTCAACCCTGTCGACGACCTACCGGGGAAGATTCAAACAGCCAACTACCGGCGAATTCCCGCCGAATGACGTTGCATGACAGCGCGGCCGGCGCGACGCGACATGACGCGACGCGACGCGGCGCGCGTTGCATCGAATTGCACGCTCATTCAGCCGGTAACGCCGGCACGATCTCTGCCCGTCGACCGGCCGAGCGCCAAGTGTACTTACTGTTGTGCTCGCCGAGACAGACGGAGAGGGAGACAGCGAGAGGAGAGTGAGACGGCGAACCGAAAGTTACCCCGAGGCTTACCCCCGATGGCTTCTGCGTCGTGTTGACTCCGTCGCGTGACGTCGCGCCGTCTTTTAATAGTCCGCGACCGGTTGGCCCGCGCGCAGCACAGCACAACGCGACGCGACGCAACGTAACGCAACGCGACGTGATACGTACGTATACGTACGTAAGTTGCAACGTCGGGAGACGCGCCCTCGTTCGACCTTGAGCCTATAACCGGTAACGCGCAACGTTCGATGTACGGAGCATCGGCGCACGGAGAATCGCTGCTGATCGCTGCAACGAGCCCACCACCGCGACAAGCCGCCCGGCCGCGCTCCTCTTGCCTGCTCCTAGCGCTGTTTACCACCTCGTCAGCGACGCCTCGTCCTCCACTTCTTGGGCACGGAACGACCACCACGACGAAATGGCGAAGAAGACGTACGACCTGCTGTTCAAGCTGCTGCTCATCGGCGATTCCGGCGTCGGCAAGACTTGCATACTGTTCCGCTTCTCGGACGATGCCTTCTCCACCACGTTCATTTCTACGATAGGTGAGAAAAAGATAGAGGGAGAGCATGCAGGAGAGAGAAGGAGAGTCGCGGATTTTCTTGCGGCTCGCTTCTACATCCGGCGGATTAGGTTAGAATACAGCGCCTGCCTGGACGAAGAGGAACGAAATCGACTTGGTCGCGCGATCGCGTCAATCTACACCACGATAAAACAGTTCCGTTTCCGTAGGCGAGAGCGCACGTACACGCGCGCGGGCGCGCGTACACACACGCGCGCAGGAACGTCTGCCGGAGTGTAATTACGAGCGTTTTCTCTCGAGAGAAAAAAATAATCGTACTTTGCTTGCGTGATGTTCCGCGGATCTGTAAGTCGGTTATGAGAACGGAGCACTTGCCTCGTATTCGTCGCACCAAGTTTCACAATATATCTGTCAATAAACATTGATAACTTTGTAGTGAAAGGACAATAAATTGATATGTAAATATTTTTTTTTAATCTCACCGATTGATATATGTCCTTATTAGTACATACAATATTTGTATACATTTTATTGAGTTTTTCTAAGGTAATTTGATAAGAGCGTGATTGTAAAGGAATACTTTTGTCAACAGGTATTGATTTCAAAATCAAGACAGTGGAATTAAGAGGAAAGAAAATCAAATTACAAATATGGTAAGCAGTCTATATTTAAAAGTTTAAACATAATGTTTAAAAGTGTATTTTGAAAGATGATCTGTATGCTTATTTACTCGCAGGGACACAGCTGGACAGGAAAGATTTCACACTATCACAACATCGTATTACAGAGGAGCTATGGGCATTATGCTTATTTATGATATTACTAACGAGAAAACATTTGAAAATATAGTAAATTGGTTGAGAAAAATTGATGAGGTATGTGTAATATAATATACAGTATATTAATAAATTTATGAGTTACAGAGGACAAAATTGATTCTATAACAATTCCATAAATATTGTCCACAGCACGCAAATGAAGATGTGGAAAAAATGATATTAGGAAATAAGAGTGACATGGAAGATAAACGTGTTGTTAGCACTGAAAAGGGAGAGGCGGTAAGTACTTAATTACTAACACACCTAATTATCACAACTAATTGTATTATAAACAGGTTATTGTGCAGAGTACAAGATTTTGACAAAATCGATTGGGTTGCGATATTAAAAGAAAATGTTTCTGCTTATAGATAGCGAGAGAGCACGGCATTAGATTTATGGAGACTTCCGCGAAGATGAACATTAACATTGATCGAGCATTTAGTGAACTGGCGGAAGCGATATTGGACAAAACACACGGCAAGGAACCACAAGACGCGCCCGACAGAGTAACAGTGGATCGAAGGGTAGAGCGAACTTCGAATCGGTGCTGCTAATTTTATATATTATTTATTTTAACGGCGCATAAACGAACTATATATCAGCTCGTGCCACTTGGAATAGAGTCCTCGATAGATTTAGAGCGTAATTCAAAGCATAAAAACATAATTAAACACTTCACGACACTGCCTGAACAAGTTATAATCCAGTCGCACGCGTATCTGCTCCGACAAAACTACATTTTTCTATGCTGCAATTGAAAAAACAGATGAAATTGTTATTAAAAAAAGACAAGAAGAGTATTCACTGGATAATGTTTACTCATTGAAATCAACACTTAAAAGTTATGTTCTTTAACTACATCCATGTAAATGTCAATAAGACAAGTTTGTAAAACTACACGGGCGCTGTTCCATGCATATGTATCTATAATTGTATCTGTGGCATATAAACGAACTCGAGGTTTCGTTAGTTTATATGGGATGTTTCCTATTTAAAAGATTTAATTGCACCATTATCTCTAAGGGTAGGAATAAGGAAAGCAAACGTTATTAATACGAAAAATTCGTACAGTGTAAAATCCCATTTCTCAACGATCTCGTTTATTTTGTATTAACGGAAACAATCGAAAATTTGAGATAAAAAATTAAATATTATTTTCTTCGTTTTGTCATAACTTTGTAATAAAATATTTTCAGATCCATGTTTATGTAAAATTTCTTTCCTTATTTCTACCCATAGTATATGTTGGTACATTCTGATCGATTAAATGAAGAAGCATCCTACACATGCGGGTGAATAAAGGTAGAACTCCTACAAGTTTTACCAATGGACCTTCAAGTTTCACACGTAACACCATATTTACATTGTTGCACGAACAAAGATAATTAGGAGAATGTATTGTTTGTTATGAAACTGCAATTTGTTACCAAGTTGAGTGGTGTGAGTACGAGTGTCGGCTTCTGATCTTTAAAAAAAAGAAAAAAAAAACATTGAAAAGAATATCTTTTCAGAAAACATTAAATGCTTTTCCTATATGGACCGCACCACACATGCTTATTTGTATATTAAGTTAAGGTGAGAAAGCTTGAAGCCAAAAGCTTTAACCGTTTTTGTGTAAGGCCAATATTTACTACAAATATAAATATTCACAATTTCGAAATCATCATTTTCATTTCCTACACTACATACGCATACACACATAGATGTATATACAGGATTGGGAAGTAAAAAAACCGTTACTTTCTCTCCAATAACGACTTGGTAATAGTATTTTTCGTTAGTAACGCGATAACAGCGGTGCAATTATATTTTTTATAAAAAGAATGTAAAACGAAATCTTCAAAATTGGTAAGGAAAGTTAAAAAATGTAAATTATAATGAATCATTACTTCTTTGAATAACGATAATAGTAACGAGTTACTTCGAAAAGTAATTTTCCCAAACCTGTATGTATAAATTACATGAAATACGGACCTACGTGTTTCTAAACGGAAAACCGTGAATATATAATTATTAATCGAATAATACGCGTAACGCTTCATGTACAAACGTTCGAGCACGTAATAGCAAGACAAACATAACAGCACGCTGCGTATATGGCTCGGATTACAAGTTCTTTCATGACATTTCTTTGCACTTAGCTTAATAATTCAGCAACGGTAGTAATGATCTTTTAATTATTTCTCCTGAATGCCTAATCAGGCATTGTGACGTTGTAAATGTCACCTTCGTCGTGCGTTGCGTAACGAACTTTACATGTGGACTAATAATTTCACTTTATTGTGCATTAGAGTGTTGACGTTCTACGTCAACGTGCTGATCGAAAGATCGTAATTCCTGCACGTTATCAATCGGAACTGAAGAGCAGAAGATCTGGAGAATAATTGTATGTTTTATTATGCAAACATCAACAAAGAATAAACACAGTCTCAACTTTTTAGATATATGTGTATATGTATATATTGGTAACTGATGTAAAATTGTCTTTTGGAATTGTTTTTTGGAGTTTTGCAGCCAATACAATACTATAACTAGTGTCGGGCTTATATCACACTAAGACATGTAATAGTAATTATATTATATATAGATAGTTTTAATTATATGTATACATTTATCGATCACACTGAAATCTAAAAAAGGAAAAGTGTTTTCAAAGAAATGTGAGAAATATGTCTATCTAATCTCTTGTAAGAAACTATTTCAATAATACATATATATTAATCAAAACAAATATTGCAAAGAAATTTGAATGATTGTCGATAGTAACAATAATAACTATTACAATATATTAAACGCACAATAATTGTTAGAATTTTTATCAGGTCCCTCCCCGAGACGACAGGAAATACTTTGCATTATGTCTTACGGGACTAGACAAAGGTTTTGAACCCAAGCGTGCTGCTCGTGAACATTAATCTTTGAAAATTTGTAAAAGCTATCACTTCGTAGAAATGAAAGTTTCGCCAATACTGCCTCCTTTATCGTTTGCTCGTCTACAATGTGCTCTTGCGAAGGCGACAACGACAACGATGATGACGACGACGTTGGCTGCGGAGAGTCAGAGCAAGACGGCGATAAATAAAAGCTGATGTACCTCGGTTATAACACGTCAGGAATAATGGAATTAACAGCGATTAATCTCGCGAAGCGCCGATAATAGTTAGAATGTAGATGAAGATGTTAATAACGTCTAGGTACAGGCTCAACGCGGCGAAGATATATTCCTCCGGCGAAACGGAGTACTTATGTTTGCCGCCTATCATCATCTGCGTATCGTAGATCAAGTACATGGAGAACACTAACGCGCCGAGAGACGCATAAACTAATGTCATGATCTTTCCATGCCAGATCATCGCGATTATACCGAAGATAAGTAAGATGAGCACAGCAACAAACAGAACAGTGTGCAACCCGGTGAAGTCGATCTTCGTCTGAAACGCAAATATTGTCAATCCTAGACAAACTGCCGCAGTGATTCCGACAGCCAGCATGACCTGAAAAATCGTTGAATGTAAACAAGCGAATTCTCTTACCTTCTTTTCTGATAATAGTACTATAACACGAGATTCAAATGTGCAGCATCCGCGGTCGAATCTGCTTTCGATCAACCTACCGCGTCAGGTTCGTAGCTTGAAGCGGCCGTGGCTAGTAGGAAGGCCTCTGCCACCGTGAACAGGAATAAGAATATGAAGTTCATCGGGGCCTTGCGTCTCACGTTGGTACAGCAAGCCATACATATGATCAGGACGATGGTCACGGCAAAGCAGATCCAGAACATTTCCCTGTGCGAACGTACCCATTTTTGTGTTGGTTCATGGTAGACAAACAACGTGATCATAGCAAGGGTAATGAGCAGCTGACACATCAAGATGCTGTACACTTTCCTAAAAAAAAAGAACGAAAATGAAAATACCATGTAGTCATAGCACGGAAAATAAAATTTGATTAGATTAATCAAATATCTGGTAAAATGTGAACAAACCAAAATTCCGTTCAAGTTGACAAAATTTCTGATTAATCAAAAATCTTGTTAAATTGAATAGAATTCTGGAACTTCTGTCATTTTTCTTTCTTTTCCGTATGTGCATTCGAATGAAATGCAAGATGTCTCAAACGCGTTTGCGACATACAATCTTCTTACCTGATGAAGCCATTCCTGATACTCTTGTCATTGAACTCGAACCCTTTGACCTCATCATGCAGAGGATCCTCCGCGTAACCGGATCCGTACATCCCTGACTGAACTGGCGGCCCTCCGAATTCCGGACCAACTGGTGGTGGTGTTTGACCGTAAGGCGGGATCCCCGGCGGCGGTACGAATCCGGGACCTGTAATGACAGAGCTGAATGAATAAGCAGTAATTAAAGGAAATCGTGATAAGATTATTCGTTGTGGATACGTCATACCTGGCGGCGGTCCCGCGGAGTAAGGCGGCGGGTATCCCGGATTGTAGCTGTCCTGCGGCGGATATCCCGGATTTTGTGGCGGGTAGCCGGGGTTCTGCGGCGGGTAACCTGCACAGTCAGATTTCGACGACGTAAGTGTCGACGTAATAGCGCGTACACGCGCGTATGTGAGAAACCTCGATCGCAAGCAGTAGCAAGACTTGAACGTCTGTGCACTAACAGCAGCCACTACGCTCTTTTTCTTTTATAGTGCATGTCTTACGCTCTTTTGTGAAAATTATTATCTTTCCACGGATGTGTGCAATAGTAAAAGTTGATTTCGCGAGAACTATGCTTGGACATAAGAAATTTTCGTCATATGTTTATACGTATATGGATATATGAGGATGCATCGAATAAACCCGACACATTATGGGCGTGACACTGATATTTCCTGCTGACGTGATCTCTATACGAATGTGATACTAATGATGTTTGTTGTCGAGAGAGATGTTTGGAAAAATGAATCGTCGTCACGACAATGTGCTTTGAAATATATGAAATAGAATATATCCTCAAGCAAGTGATATATAATGCTTACTGCTGGCCGAGTGGACCGATAATGGAAAAGTATAAGAACGGTAAAGAAACATAGTGTGAGAGATATAACAATATAAAACGTATTATTGGTAAACAGAAAGAAAAAAGATCAGAACCTTGTTGCCCCGGATAGAACCCCGCACCAGGTGTGCTTTGCCAAGTTGTCATCTTTTCGGTTTTGTTTTAGCTGAAAAGAAACCTATCGTTATAACCGACTCTCGCTAGTGGTTTGGAACTGCAACGCACAGCAACCTTAAAAAAACATAACAATATATAACATTATTATGAAAATAAAAAAAATATCACTGCAATAAAAGCAATAAAAATACAAACTTATGTCGAAGTCTTACTTAAAACTATATCTTACACGTACACGTTCTTGCGAAGAAGACTGGAATACCTGAAATCCCCGAGAAACTAGGTAATTTGTTAATTTGGTCAAGCTAGTTAGCAATTCCTTCGTGGTCCAGAAAGGAGAACAAAGGGCGATAAAAATAGAAAAATAAAAACAGCACACAAAACGTTAGACGCGAAGTCAAGGAAGTACGCGATTCACACTTTTGTCCAATGGGTCATGGTCGAACGTCTGGAAGAAGAACAGCGGGTCTTTGTGCGTTCATGCGCAAATATAGACCAAAAAATACCCAGATATCTTATCCGTATTGTCTCGGCGATTATTCAGGGAAACTTATCGTTACTTGAGATCACCAAGCGATTAATCAAGCGAATTATTTCAATTTGTGTATACGAATTGGTAGAATAGACTGGTAGTACATTAGTATGTCGAGTGTCACTTTGTTACCTAAGGAAAAAAAAAAAAGAAGAGAGCAAAGACAACTTTGCAGCATCACACGTTAATAACAACGATCGAACTGTTTCGAGTGTTGCACTTTGTACAGCAAGCAAAGATTCGGTGTTTACGTGGGATGACGCAAGCGAAAACGGACAAGCAGTTATTTCCGCGAAGACCCGACGATATTAACGTCAAAGTGAAATCGTACGCGGAGCGTGCACCGGGAATACCTGTGCTTTCGGCTTTCGCTGCGCGTTTAATACGTCTTCAGTTCTACTTCTTGGTTTCTTCTTCTTTCAAATATTATCACATCAATGCGGTATCTCGTTCGCGATTAATGCTAAACGACCGTATCGCTTGAGTGTAAGATTTTTTACGTGTACGTGAGCGCGTATCACATACACATACCTGTGCACGATTCGTTAGATATATTCACGTAGGCGTGCGTGCAAACACGCTCGTTACAGTGTGTGCGCGCTCAGAATGATGTTTCACCGTGATAAGCGAAACAAAGTTCGGCGATGAGTGACGATAAAAAAAAATAAAAGAACTTCTCAGAAAATTCGAATATTCGGAATCACGTGAGGGGGCGGATACCGCGACGAAATCGACTACCTCTCTCGACGGAATAAGTCGATCGAGCAAGGTCGGGCTTGTATTATCAGCTCGCGAAAAGATTCGAAGTGATTACAGGTCTACCACGAGCGGGAAACGAGCGGGGAACGAGCGGCTGTCACGCGAAATGGTTCTCTCGCCACGAGACGGCGATCACCACACGCGAATGTCAAGCGCGCGCAACGAACGAGGCCGTGGCGATTTCACCGACGAGCAGAAAGACTTGTGGATCGCGATTCGCGACAAGATGTTGAAACGATTGCGCATCGGACACGGGTTTTAACGCGTCAATGCGATGCGTCACTCCGTTCTTTCTGGAAATAGTCGCAATCGATAATCGCGCTCGTGTCGCGCGGGCCGAGTTATTGCGATGTAGAAGTGTGATTTACCTCGGAACACTCGCGGCCTCGCCTCTGAGAAGATCCACCGGTTTATCCTGTATATCCTGTCGACGAGACTGACAGCACGCACAGCTCGTGAAGAGCGAGACGCCTACTTGTTCTCCGTCACTAATCTGACGACGACGTAATCACACGTACACACCACCCACACGCGCGGATGCGTGACGTGCCGACCACTAGCGCGATCAACCTGGTTTCAACTGAAGTACGCCACCGAAGTCGAGCACTGTGAAGTGGGCCGATTTTCCGGAAAGTGCATTTTTCCCCGCGCGCCTGCGCGCTGACTTCATTGTCCACCTATCCATTCATTGTCCGCGCCATTGGCTATTCCATATGAAAATTTTTCGATAGTTCCGATCGTTTCCGTCAGTTTTCTGTTCAAATACGGAGGCAACGAACGCGGATTAGTGTATACATTTAGACCAGTATCCATAAGCTGCGTTCGAGGAGACGTTATTTAGCGCTAAAAGCGTGTTCTGTCCTTGTTCAACTTACAGTAAGTAATAAGGACAGAACACGCTTTTAGCACCAAATAGTGGATGCTTTCTAGTTGCGTATATTATGTTACACAAAACCAGTTTATTGGTTGCATATTATCTTACAAGATATTTTAGATAATATATAACCAATAAACTGGTTTTATATACGTGTGTCAAGATGGTTAAGCAATTGGAAAGCACTCAGTGTCTTCCCGAACGCAGCTATATCCCTTGTCCACAACCTTGCTTTAATCTTTAAGACGTAATAAACTGACCAAGATTATTTTAAAAATAATAGACTGTGGTTGGTCAATTTCTTACGGGTTAAGGGCTGCGGGAGTCGTAGGCAAATCCTGAGTTGCGTTTGAAGACCTCGTGTGGCGAAAGCGCGATCCATTGCCATCTGTGGTAAGGGCCCTCACATGAAATGACATAACTGCATGTGCATAGCATAAAGCTGATATTTCACGTGTCATACGACAAGCTTTTTGGATACGTTCATTGGTTGACGAACCTAGAAATACTCTATTTGCCAATCAATCAACGTATCCGAAAAGTTTATCGTACGACACGTGAAATAGCACCCAAGACTGTATGGACCAATGAGCATCGAGTAATTAGCCGCCATATTGATGCTTGATGCTCAATAATCGATGCTCATTGGTCCATACAGTCTTATGTATGCACATGCAGTTGTCATTTCATGTGTGAGGACCTTATTGGCTCCTGCACACAGGACGCGGTAATGCTTGCCGCGCGGCAGAATTTGGCGCAACAGCCAATCAATATGCTGCTTTCCGCAATAACCTTCTAGAGAGTCAATTCTGTATCTCGAAACAAAGTGAAAATTACAAAAGTGAGCACATTCACTAGACACTGACCAATGAAATTACGAATATTCTAGTATATTTGCTCATTTTTGTAATTTTCACTTCGTTTCGAGATACAGAATCGACTCCTAGGTCTTACGGAAAAACAACATATTGATTGGCTTACGGAAAAACAACATATTGATTCGCACAAACTTCCGCCGCGCGGCAAGCATTACCGCGTCCTGTGTGCAGGAGCCATATATCTATGCATACACCTCACACAAGCGTTTGTTCGCGCGAACGCAAAAGCAGGAAAGTTGGGTCAAGTTAGTTATAGCGTGTTCGACTAGCCTTGGGTTAATCGCTCCGAGAGTGATTAATGACGTCTAAGTCTCTACTGGCCAATCATAAAGCTTATAAGTACTTGTTCAACCAATAAACGTAGGCTGAATAACCCAGAGTGAGTTAATCCAGAACCAGTCGAACATGCTATCAATATGCAACGAGCGTTAGGTATAAAAGTGTCGGAAGTGCAGATAACGCAAATAAACTTCTTATCTCACTTTAAAGTCAGCGGTACACGGTGCTTGTTTTCGTGCTGGATTGCTTGCTGGATGGAAATATTCTGTTTTGATTTATATATTTCCATCCATCTTCAGAAATGCACCAATCAGCAAGCAATCCAGTATGAAAACAAGCACCGTGTGCCGCTGGTTTAACTTATTGCATCAGTTCAGCAATGCAGCTGAAAAGAACAGCCTCAATAAGCAGCAACAGCAATAGGGAACAGGAATTCAGATTGGTAAGTTATTTCTATTCCCTGTTCCTATTGGCTAATGCAGGATTCACACCGCGTCTGATATCGACGTCCAATATCCAATAAAGGAATAGCTTTCCAATGGAGAATTGAATTCTATATTAGAAAGCTGTTTTCCTATTGGATATCGGACGTCGGACGCGGTGTGATCCTGCATAATGCCTATTTCTATTGCCTGCAGCCTGGCATTGTGCAAAAGCCTTTAGACTTGTTATTTTTGCCTGCCATCTGGACTTTTAGTTCCAAAATCTTTGCTACGAGTCACCACTATGGCTGCGTTCCGAAATACACTGCCAGTATTGAAAATCTATAGTTTATGTTACGTATATTATAAAATTTCAGTACTGACAGTGAATTTCGGAACGCAGCCTGTATATATCGGCAAGTCGATACTTTTGAACATTGAAATGTATATTGTGTTTGTGAATATAAAAATAAATAAATAAATAATAAAATTTATATATAAGTATCTAAAATAAATAATAAATTTTTATATATTTTCATATTTGATCGAAATCATATTTGAGCCGGCATGATCAATTGAGATTATACCACGTGTACATCGTGTGTACGATCAATCACACCAGAAATTACATCTAACAACAATAAAGAAAGGATTACGCAATTATGGCTTCATATCACATTCACAATATCAGATTTTACAATCCAGAACCGAAATCCGTCACATGTATGTCTCATGAACCAAGCACAAAGAAATTAGCTCTTGCGAGGTTAGTACAGTAACATTGATTATTATATTGCTTGACTACCGTGTAATATTGTTGCTACATATATTATATGCTTCTTAATCATTTTTTAAGGAATGATAATTCTATAGAAATATGGAACCTCACAAATGTACCATTTATCGAGTGCATCATAGCTGGTTGTCCACAAAACTCGATAGAAAGTTTACTCTGGATTGGCTCCAGATTATTCTCGACTGGTCTGCATGGTGCAGTGATCGAGTACGACTTGAAGACCTTGGGAATCAAGCACGAGGTTATGGTTATAGGAGGATCAGCATGGTGTATGGATGTGAATTATGAGAAGAACCGTTTAGCTGTTGGTACAGAGGATGGATATATCAATACTTTTACTGTGCACGAGGACAAACTGATCTACGAAAGGATATTTGACAAGCAAAAAGGCAGAATTCTGTGTATCAAATGGGATAACACAGGTGAAATGATTTACACAGGTTCCACAGACACCATCAGGGTATGGAGCGCAGTATCTGGCCATGCCATACACAAAATGACTACTTTCAGAAGCAAGATAAAGAAAGAGACGATAGTCTGGTGTCTGGCAGTCACAGATGACAATGTCATTGTTTCTGGTGATTCTCAGGGCTTCTTGTGCTTTTGGGATCCCAACATGGGAGTGCTTATTGAGTCCCACGAGAGTCACACAGCAGATATATTAGCTGTCACCTTGTCTCACGACAAGAACACCGTGTATTGCACAGGCGTGGACCCGGTTGTGAGGACCTTCAGCAAAGTCATGCTGAAATCCAGCGGCAAGTCCCAGTGGGTGAAAGGAATCGAAAGGAGGCTGCACGTTCACGACGTCCGAGCTCTCGTGGAATACAACGGCAAGCTCTACTCGGCCGGAGTAGACGGATACTTGGCTGTCTCGAGCTATCCGCCTAAGAACCTTGTAAAATATCCTCCTCTACTTCAACCGCCTTGTGCCACAGTCTGTCGAAAGAGTAGGTGTATCTTGTTGCGGTACACGAACTACTTGGAACTCTGGAGGCTGGGTTCAGCCACGAAGGACACGCCGAAATTGGTCGGTCCGGTCATGTTGCATCAATTGGAGGATGAGCCCATCAAACTGCTGCGATTAGAGACCAAGGATGATGAGAGCATCATTTCCTGCGCCATCAATAAGGACTCCAAGACGATCGTGTACTCCACAGACACTTACGTGAGAGTTTTCAACTTCGACGTGATGGAGGGAGACGCGCAGCTGTCCAGGAACGACACAGACTTGATGATGAAACGAGTACAGAAGATGCTGTTCAGTCCGAACGGCAAATTGTTCGTCACCATCAACAACGACGGAAATGAGAACACCGTGACGTTGTTCAAGGTAGAGAAGAAGAGTCTGAGGTATATCGGTTCATTCCAGACGACGAAGGAGTCCATCTTGAACGTCGGCCTGGTGTGCTTCTCGCCGGACAGTAAATACCTCGTGTGCGCGGACCGGCAAAACAGAATTGCCATTTACTTCATCGGCGAAGGCGTCGAGTCGCTGAAGGTATGGCAATTGCCTAAATACGGCTGTCCACCGACGGCGATGGCGGTGCAGAAGGAGACACTGAATCTGGTCATAGTGTATTCCGATCACAAGGTGAGAGAAGAGGTGGAAGTCGCGGGTGTATATGCACTTCGACAATTAAAATTGCGGGATACACGGTGCATTGACGTGTATATTACGGTCGCGCATTACACAACGATAAAAGCCGGGAACCGAATAACGCGCGATCATAAAGCACGACGTGCACAACGTTAATGGTCCAAACGATGAAAGAAAAACTCGCGTTATCGCGGCTTCAATTTTACGCCAAGCATTACGCGTAATTGCCTTCATAATCTCGTTATTGAGTTATCCGTCGATGCAGACTCTATGAAGTCTTACGGTTTATTATCTCGATATTGCGGCTAATGCTAAACTTCAATAAGCGTAATGATTGCGTTAACAAAGAGAGATTGTATGATTTTAGTTGAATATAAGTTGAAAAAGTTGTCTCTTTCAAACGGACATGATGAATCGTGTCTTTCGAATTCATTGAGACACATCCCTTTAACATTCTTGATTGTATACTATGTAAATAAGATGTAAATATTGAATTTCAGATCGTAGAATACAATATACCGAACAGGCAATACACTCAGTTTTCCAATTATTTGCAAAGTCGTCTGCCGAAGCAGTGGTTAGCACGTCAGTTCCCGATAACGAATATCATATTTGATCCACACAATGAAAACATCATCATTATGCAGGACGACTCAAGCGTGTACGTTATCAATAAAAACAGCGAGTCTGTGAAAGAGGCGAAGATCATGAAGGTCGAGAACGGCGAGTGCACGGAGGACAGCAATTCTTTGTCGAGTTGGCAAGCTCAACATGCGTTTCGAGTAGTGAAAAAGTACAAGGTAAAAAAACAATAATTAATTTTAAATAATTACATTCGCGGCGATTAATTAGCGGCATGTAAGGAGAGTGAGGAAATGTTATCGTGTTTTTCTTGGTTACAGCATCTCGTTTACTTAAATTGGCTGAACGACAAGGAATTGGTTGCGGTCGAGGTGAATCCAATTTCGTTATCGGAAAAGCTGCCACCTACGCTAAAGCAAAAGTTCTTCGGCATGTGAATATTTTGCACGCGACAATGTGATTAATTGTTATCTCAGCAGCATGACCTGCAAAATTGTTAAATATAAATACGCAAGATCTCTTATCTTCGTTTTCGACTTATATAATGAAACACGAAATTCACAATCCAAATGTACAGCGTCCGCGGTCGAATCTCGTTGCGATTAATCTATCGCGTCAAATTCATTACTCATATTCGAGGTGGCTTTTGCTATCGTAAACAGGAAAAATAGAATTTATCGGGACCTTGCGTCTCAAGTTTGCAGCTGTCCCGCAACGGATACTCTGGATTTTGTGGCGAGTAGCTAGAGCTCTTTTGCGCGGACAACTCGCAGTCAAATTTCGTCGATGTTGTAACGTGTACACGTGCATGTAAAAATTCTCGATCGTAAGTAATAATAACTTGAATGTCTGTGCGCTAATAGCAATCGTTTCTTTTCTTTTTTCATTTGTATGTCTTATGTTATTCAGTGTAAAATTTACTTTCCGTTTCGTGCAAAGTATATATGAGTACATATAATTCATGCGAACGTGTATCATATGAATCGACTGTAACCTTAGGTTACATTGTTCTTTTTAGCTGCACTGTCTGAACACTGATGCAATAAGCCAACGCGAAACAAATGTATTTTGTCTCACTCTAACTTATTGCACTAGTTCAGACAGTTTAGCTGAAAAGAACAAACCTCTTGTCCCAAGCACAATTCTTTATCTCTATTACGAATATAATATTAACTCATATATGTACAATTCTTGAAAATCGGTTGGAAAATTTTTCTTTTTGGAAAAATTGTCAGGACAGAGTATTTTCTTTCTTTTTTTCTCAAAATAATGGCTTCATGGACATACGTAGTATTTTTTCTAACACCAATCACAAACAACGACAGAATATTTTAAAATATCAATATCGATAACTAGTTAAAGTTTTAAATATTTATAGTTACCATATACACTGTAAGATGTCGCTAGAGATCCAAATTGTTGTAACTTGCAGTTATATCGCTTGTCATAAGATGTCGTCAAAAGTATAAAATCGTCTTACTAATTCAATACCATTCAATACATTCACGTGCACGTGTGAACGTCGCGTGTTACAAAGTACTACGTATATACATTCACGTCTATGCAATCCAAAGAAGGAGTACATGATACAATGGCTTCATATCATACTTATACGTTAGATCTTACTTAATGCAGAACCGAAGTCAGTCACATATATGTCTTATGAACCAAGGTTTATTCCAAAACGTCCTTTCCGAGAAAAATTTTACTTTTAAGTCTATAGTGTATGTAACTATAGATTTAAGAATAAAATTTTCTTTGAAAAAGATGTTTTGGAATGCAACCCAAAGATGAAAATTTATTCTCGCAAAGTCAGTATAATAATTATTATTATATCACTCAATATCCTTCTTAATTTTTTTTAAGGAACAATAATTCTATAGAAATGTCTATGGAATGTCTTGAATGCACCATTTGTTGAATATATTAGAATTGGTTGTCCAGAGAACTTTGTAGAAAACTTACTTTGGATCAGTTGCAGACTATTTTCAACTAGCCTGCACTGTGCTGAGTACAATTTAACAACCTTGAAACATAAGGATATGGTTATAGGAAGAGCAACCTGATGTAGATAATGAGAGAAACTACTTGACTATGAGTATAAAAATGGGTACATTAATATCTTTACTTTATATGTGTGCGCAAGAAGAAATTGAGCCATAAGAAAGTATTTGACAAATAAAAAGGCAGAATCTTATGTACTAAATGAGACAATATGGATGAAATGATTACACTCCACGAATACTATTAGAATGTGAAACTGGCTATGTGATGTACAAAATGATGACTTTTAGAAATCAGATCGAGAAAAGCAATAGTTTGGCACCTGACAACAATGTAATCATTTCCTGCGACTTCTACAGAGCTTCCTGGAAGCATTTCTGGAATTCCAGGATAGAGATACTAATCGAGTTCCATGACAGTTACACATCTGATTGTGCTGGCTATCATGTTATCGCACAACAAGAACATCGTACATTGCATAAGCTTGTGAGCCTGATCATGAAAATCTTTTGCAGTCATTTGGAGCTCTGGAAACTGAATTCAGCCACTAAAGACCCACTGAAATTGTTGGTCTAGCTATGTTGATCATCAATTGAGGAACGAGTTCATCAAGTTGTTGCAATTAGGAATGAAGAAGATGACTTCATTTCTTACGCATCAACATTCATACGGAAGGCATCATTTCTTACGCCATCAACAAGAACTCCAAGATGAAGATTTCACACTCGAGTCGCTAAAAGCATGGCAATTGCCCAAGTACAGCTGTCCACTGACGGCAATGACAATGCAGGAGACACTGAATCTGATCATAGTGTATTCCGATCACAAGGTGAGAGACTGGAAGAAGAGAATTGGAAATCGTGGATGTATATGTACCTCGACGATTTAAATTATGCGATACACGATGCATTGTGAATACGACATTGCGCATTATACAACGTTAAAATAACAGCTATGAACCAAATAATGTGCGGTCGTAAAACATGTATACAACGCTAATTGGTCAAACGATGAAAGAAAAAGTCGTATTACGCGTTACCGCAGCTTCATTTTTACACGATGTTACGCGTAATTGCCTCTATAATCTCATTATTTAGTCTTCCGTCGATAGAGGTTCTACGAAACCTTATGTTTATCATCTCTATATTGCAAGTAATGTCAAATTTCAAAAAACTTAAGTTAAAATTGACAAAGTTAACTCTTGTCATCATCGATGTAGTTCGTCTTTCCATTTCAACGAGACTCGCCTTAATCGTAAACAAACTAATAAAATATAAATATAAATAAAATATAAAATTTCAGATCCTAGCGAGTATACAGTATACCGAACAGATATACACAGTTCTCAAACACTATGCAGAGGAGTCTGTCGAGGCAGTAGTCAGCATGTCAGTTCCCAATGAACGTAACATTTGATTCACAATGGGAACAGCATCATTATGCAGAACGGCATGTATGTTATCAATAAGAACATCGAGCCTCCGAACGAAGACGAAGATCTAAGAGACGAAAAGAACAGCAATTCGTTGTTGATATGGAAAGCTCAGAACGCATTCCTTGTGGAGAAGTACAAAGTGAAAATGTTAGTTAATTAAAAAAATGTCATTCGCGGCAATTAATTGGCAAGCAAGGAAGAGAAAATATTACTATGATTTTGTTGATTGCAGCATCTTGTCTACTTAAATTAGCTAAACGAGAAATTGGTTGCGGTCGAGGTGAATCCAATCTTGTTGACGTTACCACCCACGCTGAAGTAGAAGTTCTTTGGCACGTAAACATTGCATACATGATCATATGGTAAACTATTGAACGGTTTTCACCTTATACCTTTAATCTGTTATATGTGGGCGGCCAACAAAATAGACTATATTCAGGAATTTTTTTTTTAATTTTTGTGAGGAATTTTTGAAGACACGTCGATTTTGTATACATGCTTTTGAGTAAAAGGCGCTTAATGAATTTTTTTCAAAAAAAAAAAAGATTTACTGAGAATAACATATTTTTGGGGCCAAAAGGTAAGAGATCCTTTAACATTAGATTCGTGCACATAATATTTTGTACATGAAATCTCTTGTATAATATATGTACTTTCTATAGAAGTTACTTTTTTACGATATTTGATACTCAAATATGTATAAGACACATACTTGAGACAAAATGTTCTTTCCGATCTTTTCTCGAAACGCGTGCAGATGTACTCGTTTTATTTGAAAAGCACGAATAATATAAGAGATACAACTGAAGAATAAGACGCGTCATCAGTGAAATAACGAGATCACAATGTAAACGCGAATGACTTCCCCTCCTTCTTCTTCATAGATAATCGATTTCTCAACCCAGGAAAATGTACTTCTGTTGTTGCATGGCGCATTGCAATTCCGGGTCGTCCATAGGTGGTTCGATCGTATGTCTAGGCGAGACGTACAAACGACCCATGAACTCCAGGTTGTGTTCCACGCGCGACGAACGGTGGCCGATGGCCGCGGATGACGTGCTGGGGACAGCCGGCGAGGCTTTCAAGGGAATCGGTGAACGTTCGACCGCGTCTTCCGGCGGGTCACGCTTGAAAGTGCCCAACGGAAGTCCCGCTTTTCTGCATTCTTCCATCAGCACCTACGGTCAGTGACACGGGCCACATTGAAATTCGTCTGCGGTCCGCAGCGCGCGGATGTTCCTCCGCGCCGACTGAGTTCTTTTTCTCCCTTTTCCGTCTTTTTAAGCTACCTCGTTGAAAAATTGCCCGGTCAGGTGCTCGTATTTGCGCGGCCACAATCGTTGCGAGATTTTCTCGTGGAGGTTTGTCTCCTTGCTGAAAAGGAATCGCGTGCGGGTGGAGTGAGCGTTACCGTCCGGACGTGAATGCATGTCGTGCGAAAATTATCGGGATAAATCGTCCACGACGGGTGTATTTACCGGATATTATCAGCGAGCACTTCATTCTTGAACACGATCCCGCGTGGTCTTCCCACAGCGACCACCCTCTCGACCGCCTTCTTGCTCTCTTTATTCTGCTTCTCCTCAGACGTACGCTGCTTCTTCTCCGACATCCTTCTTCACGACGAGCGAACTTCTCAATAATGAATCCGTATGCGCGCGGTTTGTTCGATATCGCGGCGCGTCGCTATAGTTATCGCGGCTAATGTCGAGATTGCGACTCCACTCGTTTGCGTTCTCTAGGACGAACACGAAGTAGTTGCGCTCTTCTCTACGCGTTCTCGTGAATCACGCCTTTCGTGAACTCTTATACATACAAAAAGTTGCAAAATGTCGCACGTCGAAAGCGCCGACGACTTTACTCGAGCGATACTCGTGGTTTTCCGTCTGGACCTTCCACTGTTCACGATCAAACCATATTCCCTTGGCGTAACGCCGTCAGTTTTCCAATTCATAACTCGAAATAGGCTACGGGACTACGTCGGGAGAATTATGATTCCGGTATCGAAGTGACGCAGACCGGGAGATCTCCCATGAATCCGCTGCTATCGATGCAACGTCGTCGTCGCGATCGTCAGGGACGCTAACTCCGCGGCTGCAACAACAACGAGGGCGAGGACCTACCGCTGTCTCTCTTTCTCTCTTTCTCTCTCTGGACGCAGACTGTCGAAGTAGTCGAGAAATAATCAAACGAACGACGTAGCGACTACCCAAGCCGAGTACACGAAGCACACGTCGATGTCGATGTTCGAGTATGAGAATGTACGACCAGTCGGCGTCGGAGAGGATGTGGTGTGTGGAGAGCGCGCTGACAGAGAGAAGGCGAGAGACAGAGAGAGACGTTTATTAACAGAGGAGACAGAGAAAGAGGAGGAACACGAGGAGAGACAATGAGCGGGAGAAAGAGAGAGAGAATGGAGACCGAGGACACTGCAGAGTGCAATGTACCCAGATTACGACTAATCTACGCTCGAGACCGCTCCGGAGCGTCTCTGTAACTTACATCGCTTAAAGCGTCAGCCCGTTCAACCCCTGACTTCAACGCCACCGTATGCGCCTTCGTCGTCACTATCTCCCTTCATCTCTCTCTCTCTCTCTCTCTCTCTCTCTCTCTCTCTCT